CCCACACACACCACGCAGCCCCCTCTGGGGCGGGGCGAGGCCCCCCACACACCACGCAGCCCCCTCTGGGGCGGGGCGAGGTCCCCCACACACCACGCAGCCCCCTCTGGCATAGGGCAAGCCAGCTGCACAGAGAGCCCCCATCCAAGGCAGCTGTTTACCAGCACAGAAGCCCGGGGGTCTGAGGGAGGCAGAGGGAACTGCCCCACTGGGGGTTGGTGGATTCTGTTCTGCCACACGCCCCCAGTGACCCCCGGCCCTCACTCACTGCGGACTCGCAGGTAGGTGCCGCATGACTGGCCCGAGGCCTCGTCCGTGTACACCTGGCAGAAATACAGGCCGATGTCGCCCTTCTTGGCGGGGTGGAAGGCGAGGACGGAGACGCCGGCGCTCGTGGTGATTGCCACACTGCGCTGGGGGCCGGTGCCATTGGCCACCAGGATGGGCTCGCTGCAGTTCCGAGAACAGGATCGGCTCCAGGTGACCCGGGCCCCGGATGGGGCTTCAAACCGGCACTCCAGGGTCACCCGGCCCCCCTCAGGGACAGTCACAGAGGTGAGGCCGGCCTCCACCTTCACAAGGCTGTTCTCCGCCTGGCGCTGGGCGGCGAGGGCGGTCTCCATCTTGACCACGGTGGAGCTGGGCCGAGGGGTCCTGGGGGCCGGGGGGACCTCGGTCACGTTCCAGGTGGTCCCGCTGCACGGCGTTGTCATGTTTGTGGTGGGCTTGCCGCAGAGGTGTCCTGTGGGGGTGGGGACACACCACGGCTCAGCAGCCGGAGCCAAGAGTGCCAGGCAGGACGGGCCGGGGACTTCCGGGAGGGGGGTGGATACCAGGCGGGACGAGCCTGGGGTGACGATCGGGGTGGGGGGGAAACGAGCGGGACGAGCCTCGGGCATCTAGGGGGGGAGAATGGGCAGGACTGGCCTGGGGGGACGATTGGGGGGTGATCGGGGGGGATACCCGCCTGGGGGGAAGATCCTGGGGCGGATACCGGGCAGGACGGGCCTGGGGGGACAATCGGGGGCAGCAGGGGGCAGGCGGATGCTGGGCCGGATGGGGGACTGGTCTGACCTAGGGGGAATACCAGGCTATCTGGGGTAGGGGGCCAGCAGGATGGGAGGAAGGCTGCCCTGGCCCCCCAGACCCTCGCTGACTCCAGGCCCCCGGAACCTGGCAGCAGAGACTGCAGGTGAGGGGACCTATTCCGCTTCTACAGTCCCCCCCCGCCGGCCACAGCTCCCGATCACCCCCAGAGCAAGGAGATTGTGGGCACAGGGTGAGATGGGGCTCACTTCTAGTGGTTAAAGCAGGGGGGCTGGGAGCCAGGACTCCTGGGTTCTCTCCCCAGCTCTGGGA